TCCCTGCGGAAATGTAGGGATTAATGGGCTTTAATAGAGGCATTAATAGGGGAGGACTCTCCGGCTTTGCCGGTAGCGGAGCTGCCATTCCCGGCTCCTGGCAGAGGGGAGCAGAAGTCCCGCAGGAGTGTGATGTGCTCGCTCTCCCGAGCTGCCCCATCCCTGGGGGAGTGGGACAATAATCCAGACACCCCACCAGGCTGCTGAGGCGTGCGGTTCGGATTAGGCGATGTCCGTGGAGAGGTGGCCACATCTCCCCTTTTCCCTTTCATTTCCATCCTCACTGCCGGCTGTTCTGACTCCCTGTCTGCTGCTGCAGGTGCTTATCTCCCCGCTTCCCGCTTTCCGCCTGCTTCTGCCGCGATCCACAGTCCTACCCCCTTTCTCCTTCCCACTTTTCCTCCCTTATTCCCCGTATCCATAGGGGAAATTTCTCCCTTCTGTATTTTCCGGCTGGCCTCTCCTTTGCAGGGACAGATAGGCTGAGGATGTGCATGTGGGGATGCAGCTGGGGGCGAGACGGGCAGGATTCTAATAAACCTTGTTATTTGGGGAGTGCGCATTTTGGGGTATAAGCAGCAGGAAGAGTGGGGGCTCAGCGTCATTAAAAAAAACACCCAAAATGTTGAAAAACCCTGGGTGGGTGCAAGATTTCCAACACTTCCCCTGACCAGATTTGGGGGGGAGGTGGGATGAGATGTCCCTGCCCCAGAAGGGTCCCCGCTCCCCCATTCCCGGTGGGCACTGACACCGGCCCGGCCACAGGTCTGGTTCCAGAACCGTCGGTCGAAGGAGCGGCGGATGAAGCAGCTGAGCGCGCTGGGCGCCCGCCGACACGCCTTCTTCCGCAGCCCCCGCAGGATGCGGCCCCTCGGCGGCCGCCTCGACGAGTCCGAGATGCTCGGCTCGACCCCCTACACGTACTACGGAGGTGAGGGACCGGCCGCGGGGACCCTGCCCTGTGTGTCCCCCTTCCCCTTTTGTTCCTCCATATCGCGCTTCTCCGAGGATTTTCCGCTTCTCCTGCCCTCGCGCACACACTCACGGCCGCATCCCCGCACCCGCAGCCACGTCCACGCACCCCCGCGCCCCGCCGGCATTGCGGGGCCCCTCTCCCGCGAACAAAGCCCCAGCTGCGGGGCTTTTGTCCCCCTTTCAGGCCGCATTTGTTCCAATTACCTCGCGGGGCCCGCAGCATATGGGAGGTCACTGCTGCCTCCCCGCCGCCCCGACGGGACGCGATGGGCGCAGCGGGGCGGCCCCGCGCCTCCCTCTCCCCCCGCTCCCCACAGAGCCCCCCACAAAAGCCGCATTTTCAAAGCCTCCCATCTGACCGGGGGCTTTCCAGGCACCCCTTGATGCCCTAAAGTTAGTTTCTAGATCCCTTCCAGGCTGCTTAAACTTACATATAATTTCGCCATTATATATATGTGTGTGTGTGTGTTCCCCTTTTATGTATATATTTTCCCCTATTATATACATTTTTCCAGTTGTGTGTATGTTTTTCTCATTATATTATTATATATTTTTCCTATTATATTCTATATTTTTCCCATTACATATTTTTCCCACTATATATTTATTTGCCCCCATTTTCTTTATATATATCTATTCCCGTTCCATATATATATATATATATATATATAACTTTCCCCCATTAATTAAGCACTAAACGGAGCCCATTTTCACCCCCTCAGCTGTCCCAACCCTGCGTTCCCCGCCTTTCCCTCCTCCAGTCTGGGCAGAGAGAGGGTGACGGGCACGGCAGCCCTTAGGACAGGCTTATTTCTCTCAGGTTGGGCTCTAAATCCTACCTGGCTCTTTGGGCCCCGCATCCTGGGAGCCAGTAATATTTTGGAGGGGACAGGACAGGGCTGGGATGGGGTGCAGCAGGATTTTGGAAGGTCTTTGGCCCCAGGGGACAGGATCCATCCTTTTTCCCCCCCCTTCCCACAGATTACCAAGGGGACTACTACGGACCGGGAGGCAACTATGACTTTTTCCCCCACGGGCCGCCCTCCCAAGCCCAGTCCCCGGCCGACTCCAGCTACCTTCAGAACTCAGGACCCGGCTCCACACCCCTGGGACCCTTGGAGCCCCCCCTAAGCGGACACCACTCCTCAGAAAACCAAAGGTACACGGATATGATCTCGCATCCCGACACCCCCAGCCCCGAGCCGGGGATGACCGGCTCGCTGCACCCCATCCCGGGGGAGGTCTTCAGCGGGGGGCCCAGCCCCCCCTTCTCCATGTCCAGCAATAGCGGCTACAGCGGGGCTCTGTCGCACCCGAACCCGGAGCTCAGCGAGGCGGCGGTGTGGTAGGCCTGGCGTGGGCACGCGTGTGTGTGTGCAGGGGGAAAACGCCCCCTTCGTCCCCCCGGCCCACGCGTGTCCCCCCTCCCCTCACCCCGCACCAGGGCGCATCACATCACCACCGTCGGATAAAGAGCCCCCTCCCGTGCCAAAACGCGTCCCTGCATCCCCCCTCCACCCTCCCCACCACTGCACCCCCCGGGACCTTGGGGCCACCCCGCTACCTCCCCCCTCCCGGCACCTTCCCCCCAATACTTGGGGGGGGGGAGCAATGAATGGTGCCCAGCCCTGAAGACCCCCGCCGGTGTCGGGACCACCTCTTGGACCAAAGCTGAACTCGCCTGGACACAGGTCCCACCGCCCCGGTGGCACCAGGGGAGGAGGGGCTGGGGCAGGGCTTCCCCCTGCTAATTAGCATCCTTTTTAATTATGCCCTGCCACGTCGTGGGAGGGGGGGAATGGGGAACAGAAGGAATAACCCCCGCGGCCCCTCTCCCTGCCCTTATTTTTATTGTTCCCATTTTATCCCCAAGGAGAAGGTGGGTTTGGACACGGTTTTTGGTGATGGGGAGAAGGGGGGTCGTGGGGGGGCCAGGCCCAGGGCTGCCCCAGTGACTGGCTGAGATTGGGCTCCCACGTGGTGGAAAAGACACCAGAAAGAGGTAGAAACAGGAAAAACACAACAACAAAAAACCAATAAACCCCAGAACTAAACCAACTCAACCACAACAGCAGAAATTACACCCGAGCCTCGATGCCGAGTCCCACCCCAACAATTCCCAGAGGCTCCGACAATTTAAGGATGTATTATAGTTTTTGCTTCTAGTTTCTTTATTTTGTATAAAGGAGAAACAAATAAAGTATGTTTTTGTGTTTACTGATTATTTATTGTACTTTAGTCATCGGAGGCTCCGAATTTTTCTATTTTGAAGGCAGGGAGGGGGTGGCACCGGGGAGGGGGGTGAGAGGATAGAGAGGGGGCGATAAAAAAAGGAAGGAGAATGGAAAAGGAAAGGAAAAAAAGTTGTTTTCTGAAAGCGTCGTGGGTTTCCTGTCCCCGCTGCCTCTTGCAGAGGCTGTTAGTGTGAATGGCTCTTGTTGTTCAATGTGAATAAAAAACCTTTTAGTTACCTACTGTTCGGTCACCTGTCCCTTTCATTTTATTTTATTTTATTTTATTTTTAAGACAAGACCACGAGCGCTGCTGGCAGGGCTGCCCTGCTCCACCACTGCCCTCCAGCCCTGTGTGGGGCCTGGGGGAGCAGCCCCCCATCACTCCCCTGGGTGTAACAGGTGCCGTGGCCCCTGTACAAGGTGATGCTGCTGCATCGCCCACATGGTACCCCAGTCCCCCCATTCCCCCACTCCTCCAGCTCTCTGGCACTGGGAGGGGGCACATTACCCAGCTCAGCACCTTCCCCCACAACAGACAGCGCAATGCACGATTCCTTTCTCCCGGTTGGCACGTGTTGTTTGAACCCCCCAAGGCCCATCCAGGCAGCCCAGGGGCACCCACAGCCCTGCTGGCAGAGCATCCCCATGGAGCAGCCATGGGGGTCAGTAGGGCTGCTGGAGGGGGACACCAACAGGGGACATCCCAAAGGGGAGGTCCATCGATGCCATCGGCAGCTTTTGCCCCATTTGCCCTAAGGGGTACCGAGGGCATCAGGGGGTTCTCCTCCCCCAGCACCCCAGTTCACTCCCCTCCTCTCTCATGATTCCTGTCCCTCGATTTCTGAGGTACAAAAATAAAAAGTCCAAGGCAGGTTGCAGCTCTGAACCAATATTTAAAATGCAAAATCATGGCAGAGGTTTTCGCCCCCCCTTGTCTTGCAGTAAAACGATATAAACAGAATAAATTACCTTCCCTTGCTGGCTTACGAGAGTCCCTCTCTCCTGACCTGAATTTTAAGTCCTGGCTCGGTTGTAGCATGGAGCACTGATGATTTATGGAAAGCCAGCCACTTCTCTGCATATTTTCTCTGTTCAGCCAAGTGGTGGAATTTATCCTTCCTATACCATTACTGGCATTAATAACAGAGTGGCCAACAAGCCAGGCCGAGCCTCGAGGGACCCCTCAGTCAGGAGCTGGGACCATCACAAAAACACTGGTTACCCACCACCCACCAAGCAAGGCACCTTCTCCCTTTTTCACAGGTGGGGAAGCTGAGGCAGGAGCACAGCTGGCTGCTCCCCTCTGCTCCAACCCTTCCAGGCTGTCAGTGTTAGCAGGTAATGGTTTTTTTTTTTTTAAGGACAAGGCAATGTGTTGGTAAGTAACCCCATCCCAGCATCACTTTGAGGAGTATAAAATGCAACACAAGGTCATTCACTGAGTGAACACTGGTTGCTGCAACTACTACTACCATTACTATTACCGTTATTGTTATTGTTAAAAAACTAAAGGCATAAGCCTGAGGGCTGTTTTCAATCTGCTGCAGCACCCCATCTCTGGGACTCAGGGCGGGACAGGCTGCAGGAGGGATTTTGGATGATGCTCCAAGCTGCCACATCCCAGGCAGTGCAGGCACCCGGGGCCTTAGTGCAGGAGGATGGGGCTCAAGAGGAGCAGCCGCCAAGAGCAGGGATGATCCCCTGGCTCAGAGGACCTTTACTGGTTGGGACTCACAGCTCAGAGCGGGGTGCAGGAGCCAACCCTGGGGTTGGGGTCCCCGTCACCCCAGCAGTCCCGGGAAGGCACCAGCGCTGTTAAACCCGGCCGGGGATCTCCGCCCATAAATCACCGTAACAAGCGCGGCCGCGCTCCTTGTTCTTGTCTGACCGCAGCCAGCACGGCAGGAACGGCAGAGGAGTGTAATAATTAATAATCATTAGAATAATAATGCAGAAAGACAGTAGCAAAGCAATTAGGCAGAGAGGGAGCGCTTGCTAATCGAGGTGGGGAGTTCCAGCCCAAACAGCTCGGGGAGGAGCAGGGGAGGGACAGGAGGAGGATGGAGGGTTGGGGCGTGTAGGGGAGGATACCTGGCATGTCCCAGCGGAAGAGCGGGATGTGTGGACGCCAGCAGAGGAAGGACCCTGGCTCCAGCCCTGCCTGCAATGTGAGCCCCAGGCTCGTCTGCCCCGCGTGTCTCAGTTTCCCCATCCCTGCATGGACGCTGTGTGCTGGAGAAGGCTGTGGGAGGAGTCGAGCCCTTCTTGGCAGCCTGAAAGGCAGGAGAGAAAGAGGGGAGAGGATGGCTGTGTCTCCCATGAGAGTAGGAGCAGCCCCCTGCCCACGCCGTGCCCACACTCACCTCCTGGCAGAGGTGCCCGATGCCCCGGATCTTGAAGGAGCCCGTGGGCTGGACGTTCTCCAGCTTCATGAAGACCTTGGTGCCCGCTGCCTTGGAGAGGGGCAGGCTCTCCGGGATGGCTGAGATGATGTGGAAGGGCTTCTGGCCCCACCAGGCTGGGCTACCATGGCCCTGGCAATGGATGCTCTGCCAGGGAGAGGTGGTGGAGTCGTGAGTCCCTCCCCACAGCCCCGGGGCTGACCCCAGTCTTGGTGCAGGGCACAGGAGTCCCTTGGGAAGGACAGACCTGTCCCAAGTGCCCTTCCCAACTCTGGGATGTAGGAGCACCTATGGGGTCTCCCTGCCAGAGCCCCAGGACAGGCTATGCCACCCCCTCTTCCATCGTCCTGGTCCCCACATCCCAGGTGTCTCCAGGTGCCCCCTGCACACCCTGTCCCCTAACCCAGCCAGACACGGTGCTGGGTGTCCTGCTAGAGACATGTGGCCCCAGCAGCCAAATCCCATCAGCCTTCGAATGCCCAGGAGACAAGATGTGGGTGCCCAGGAGATGGAGGAAGAGGAGGGGCAGCTCCCAAAATATTTTGAGGGTCCTTAAGGGTTTACATTTGCTGTTCTCGGGTCCCAGCAGATTTTAGGACTTTGCTCATTTGGTCCAGACCCCCAGTGTAGCCAGGGCAGCCTGCACACCCCAAATCCCCACTCACTGCTTCCAAAGGAGCCATCACACCCCTATGCCCACCCTGCCAAGCCCCCCAACCCAAAGCAGCCTGGAAACCTGTCCAACCTGCACATCCCGAGGGGCTCAGCCCCTCCAGCTGAGTGAGCCCCCCCAGATGAGCCCCCTCAGCTGGCTATGCCAGCCACTCTGTGGAGGGTCAGGAAGAGTCTCTGTAGGGGTGACACCCCTACAAAGGTGCCCCTTGATCACCCCTTGGAGAGGAGTTACTCCAAGGACCCAGCCAGAGCCTGGCCCAGATCTGAGGTCCAGCAGCCCCCAGGCAAAACAGGCAGAGATCCCCCTTTCCTCTGGGACCCCTTCTCATCTCCCAGCCCCAGTGACCACCCTCAGGGTGAGAGTCCTACCTTCTGTCCCCAGTGGGCGAGGAGGAGGAAGGTGGGATCTGGAGGAAGGTCCCAGCCCCGCAGGTTTCTCTGTCCCTCTGGCCAAGCTGGAACAGTCTGAAAGCAGAGGCTGAACGGGAATCCCAGCAGGGAAACACTGCACAGCAGCTGGCACAGGCACATCCCAGCCAAATGGGGTGCACCGGGAACCTCCACACCCTCTTCAGCTCTGTCCCACTGCCAGGCAGACGGCAACAAAACAGAACCCAAAATATGTGGGTTTGGTCCCCTTGTTACCAAACGAGGAGCTAAAAGTTATGATTAATGCACTGGGTATCTGAAAGCACGGGCTTGCTTATCAAACCCATATCAGGCTGGAACTAAAGGGCTTAGTGCTGTGGCTGGAGATGAACACCTCCATATCAAACAGGACCAGGACTCTCAGTTAGGTAATTGAGGGCAAACAAGTCCATGTGAGGAAATAATTAATATGCTAATAAACTCAGAGAAGTAATTAACATAGTCCGGCCTTCTTATAAGAAACAGGTTGAATATCTTTATAATGAAAATAAACCACTAATTCAAGGGTGTGACAGGAAGAGCTCTCTCTCACATGCCTGGCACAGAAAATAAAGTGCAAATAAAGCTTTCTAATACTACAAAGAGTGTTTTAGTCCCGATTTTCAGTGACACTCTCACCCAAACTCTGCCTCAAAGCTCCCCTGAGAGCACTCTTGCTGGCAGGTACCGAGCGAGGCGAGAGCTCCAGGGGAACCCTGCTCCTGGTGGAGCTCCTTTGGCTCCATCCCTGCCCCAAGGAAGGCAATGCCAGGCTGTCACCACATCACTTCCCTTGGCCAGAGTCCCTGGGTGACACCACCGTGGCAGCTGCGGTGATACTTAACAACTTTTTGGGTTTCCACTTTTAAGAAAATAAAGAAAGGAAGGCAAGCAGCATTTCCAGCATGCCCTGCTCTTGGCACCAATGTGCTTGTCCCTCCTTGCTGCTCCTTCACCTGGTGATGGAGATCTATCTGCCAAAATTGAGGCACAGGGATCCCTCGAGCAGCTCCCCCTGCCACAGGAGCCCACACACCACAGGGACACCAGGGGACACAGGCTCTGCCACCCCCGCCTTACCTGCAGCACCTCCCCACACAGTGGGCTATGGACACCCTGCCTTGTCCAGTGCACCCATCCCAGATTTTGGGGTGCCAAACAGCACCCCAACAGCCCAGACCTGCTGCATCCCACCCCCCTGCAGACCCCACGGAGCCCCAGGGGCTCCCAGTCCTGCTGGGAATCTGGCACCTTCAAAGCCCTGCCGAGCCAGCACATTAATCCCCCACTAATGACCTCGTTATTCCTAACGAGGCAGATCAAGGGACCTGCTGCCCAAGAGGATTTTACACCGGGGCTTTTGGGGATGGGGGCACACAGGTGCCTGAGAGGGGCAGAAAAAAGGGATGAGGATGGTCTCCCACTCCTGCAGGGAGAGCGCTGGCGCTTCCCCATTTCAGCAGCTCTGCCCCACACCGGTCCCCAGCCTGAGGCAGCAGCAGAGAACCCTCCACAGCCTGCACCCCAAAAGAGCCCGGCCTGGCTGGGCACACACCCTCCCACCCTCAGAGAAACAGGATCACCCTGTTAATATGGGGGGGGCAAGACCACAGTGTGAGCCCAACCCTCAGAGCAGCCACCCGAGAGTCCGGCAGAGAGCAAAGCACCGCCACCACCACAGAGCGCTTTATTTGTCACAGCCACGCCAGCTCACTGCCCTCCTCTCTGCCCCGCGGGCGAGCCCCAGGATCCCAGGACCTGCTTTTTTCTGGGAAGAGCCCCCCAAGACAGGTGTCAGCACCCAGGGACAGGCGCTGGGACCGGCAGGGAAGGGGCACGGGGAGGGCTCAGCGCCCTGCACAGCACAACCGGGACCTGAGCGGCAGAGAGAGCCAGGGGAGGGCGGGGTATCACAGAGCTGCGGTGCCCCCACACCCCCTAAAGGGATCCCCCCGCAGGACAGACACCCACGGACGGACGGGATCAAAAAGGAGGGCAGGGTCACTGCCATGGAGGGGGCGGAGCCGGGGAAGGCCACGCCCCCTGCAGCGACCGGGGCCGTGTTTTGGGCGGGGCTTCGGCGAGACCACGCCCCAATATATAAATAGAGTGGGTTGGGGCGGGGCCTTAATGTGACCACGCCTTTATAGGCGGAGCTTTGGCGTGATCGGCTTTGGGTAACGGGAGGTTTTTGTAGGGACGGGGCGATATATTGGTAAATAAACCCTTCCCAGCATCATTTTTGAGCAGTATAAAGTGGAACACAGCGTCATTCACTGGGTGAACATTATTATTATTATTATTATTATTATTATTATTATTATTATTATTATCATCATCATCATCATCATAATCATCATCATTATTGGTATTATTATTATAATAATTATTAATATTATTAATAGTAATATTATTGATGCTGTTAATTATTATTGTTACTGTTAAGACAAGTTTTTAAAAATAATATTATTATTAAAAGATAATATTATTAAAATAATATTATTAAAGTATTGTCGTTATTAAAATATCGGTGCTACTATTAAAATATTATTAAAATATTGTTATAAAACGTTAATAAAATAATAATACCAAAACACTTTCAATAAAATAATATTATTAAAATATTATTGTCAAATTATCATCGTATTACTATTATCATCATTATTAATATTACTATTATTATTATTTTCAAGGCATAGACCTGAGGGCTGTTTTCAGGCTGCTGGGGCACCACATCTCTGGGGCTCAGCACAGGACAGGCTGCAGGAAGGATCTTGGATCCTGCTCCAAGCTGCCACATCCCGGGGGGTTTGGGCCTTGGTGCAGGAGGATGGGGCTCACCAGGAGCAGCCACCAAGAACAGGGATGATCCCCTGGCTCAGAGGACCTTTACTGGTTGGGACTCACAGCTCAGAGCTGGGTGCAAGAGCCAACCCTGGGGTTGGGGTCCCCAGTGCAGCCAGGGCTGAGGTACAACATCACAGCTTAGTCGGGGATCCCCATGGCAGAGAGGGTCCCCACTGGAGCCAGCCCCCCAGCAGTCCCAGGAAGGCACCAGCACTCGGGATTCCTGCCTGTCTCCAGCTGCAGGGTGACCACAGGTGACCCCCCACCAGCTGGGGCCATGCCACTCCCACTGGGGTGTCCTCCAGATAACCTGTACCTCCAAATCCCTGCCAGGGACATCCAAAGCCCAATCCCCCCAGCCTGCACCCAAAGCCCGAGTGCTCCCTCATCAAGGCAAGGAGAGGGAAAAGTTCCCTGTTGGGGTGCTCAGGGGAGTCACCCCAAACCCCACAGTCACGCCCACGTCCCCACCAGCAGTGACCTTTCAATGGGACTGCACTGGGAAAACACCACCGTGAGCTCCCAACTGCCCTGACCCCCCCGGAGCAGCATCAGTCCTGGGAATAATTTCCTTTTTTAAAAGCTGTTGGTCAAACATCAGTGCTTTTATTTTTTTCCCCTGACCTTTTTGCCTTTTTTGTTGTTGTTGTTGTTGTTGTTGTTGTTGTCATTGTGGTTTTTTTTTTGGAAGGGGAAGGTCTGCAGAAGGTGGAAAGTAATCAGGTTTTGGACCTGGGATAAAAAATAGCTGGAGTAGGCTGGGCTGACTCCTTATAATTAATAGTGTGCCTCGTAATAGGATTCTACAGCCTTCGGTGCTCCCTGGGAACACCTTTTTACATAAGATATTGCTCACGATGGAGCAGCAGAGTTTTGATTTATGGGGGTTTGGCCTCCAAGAAGCACCTGGGTGAGGTGGCCTGACTGGTAGGTGGTATGGGGGGGGCAAGGGGCCAAAGGCAAGGAGGGTGTTTCTGGCGGCCTGGCAGCCAGGGCAGGGGAAAGGGCTTTGTGGGGGCATGTCAGTGATCTGGGGGACAGAGCTGGTCCTGGGGCTGGGCCCCCTCTGCTCCAAAAGGGAGAAGGAGGAGGGTGAGAAGGGGTTTGGGGCACCCTGCCCAACATCACTGGGTGATGCTCAGGGCACAGGCTCAGTGGGGGAACCAGCTGAAGCTGAGGAAGCCCACAGGGAGCAAGACCCCACATTGCCCGGGAAGGGGAGGAAGGAAGGGGGAGAAATGTTGGGAGGACACAAAAAACCCCAGGAGGTGCCATAGCAAAGAGTTAAAAGCAAACACAGCAGTACAGAGCGGGAATGGGGGAGAGCAGGAAAGCGTGAGGGAAAGGGAGGGGATGGGAAAAAGAGTAGAAAAAACCAGAATCTTAGGGGGTCCAGGATGGAGTACACACCCCCCCACATGTGTTGGAGCACCTTGGAACCTGCGGGTGTTAAACCCGGCCGGGGATCTCCGCCCATAAATCACCGTAACAAGCGCGGCCGCGCGCCTTGTTCTTGTCTGACCGCAGCCAGCACGGCAGGAACGGCAGAGGAGTGTAATAATTAATAATCATTAGAATAATAATGCAGAAAGACAGTAGCAAAGCAATTAGGCAGAGAGGGAGCGCTTGCTAATCGAGGTGGGGAGTTCCAGCCCAAACAGCCCGGGGAGGAGCAGGGGAGGGACAGGAGGAGGATGGAGGGTTGGGGCGTGTAGGGGAGGATACCTGGCATGTCCCAGCGGAAGAGCGGGATGTGTGGACGCCAGCAGAGGAAGGACCCCGGCTCCAGCCCTACCTGCAATGTGAGCCCCAGGCTCATCTGCCCCGCGTGCCTCGGTTTCCCCATCCCTGTATGGACGCTGCGTGCTGGAGAAGGCTGTGGGAGGAGTCGAGCCCTGCGTCCACCAGGCTTTATTTTGGTTATTTCGGAGGGAAAGCAAGCAGAGGGTGCCAGCCAGGCTCTGTCGCGTCCCCTGCCTCGGGGTGGGTGTCACTCCATCCCCAGCTGGCTCTTCAGGGCTCGCAGATGTGCCGTGTTGATGTTGCCGCCCCCGCAGACCACGACCACCACGGAGCCCAGCGGGGTCCGCAGCTTCCCCTCTCGCTGCAGCCGCTGCAGCCGCCCCGTGTAGAGCGTGGCCAGGGCGGCCCCGCACGCCGGCTGCACCAGCATCCTCTCGTCATCTGTGGGGACGAGACCACGGGGACATCCCGACACCTGCAGGGACTGCCTGCAGACACACGGTGCCCCCAGCACCCTGACTCCAGCAGCTCTCAAGAGCCGGTGGTGTCCCCATCACCCCCGTGATGCCCAGCTGGCCCCACTCACCCAGGAACTGCTCCACAGCCCTCACAGCCTCTGTGTCCTCCACCACCTGGGAGATGATCTGGCACTCCTGGGCACACTCCAGCGCCCGCGTTGCCACTGTCTTGGCTCCCAGGCACTTGGCCACACTGGGACATGAGGGGACAAGGTGGGACAAGGTGGTCAGGGTGGTCTCAGGACCCCTCAGTGAGCTGGGCTGAGCCCTGCCTGCTCGTTGCACATGTGGCTGCTCACCTGGTGATCTCAGGCAGGGTGACCAGCCGGCCAGCTTTCAGTGCCTCGTGGAAGCTGTGGGTTCCGTGGGTTTCAGCAGCGATGATGGGGATGTCCTGCCAGCCCACCTGGTGCAGGCCCTCCACGACACCAGCCAGCAGCCCCCCACCACCCACCGACAGCACGATGGCATCTGGTTTGGTCTCCAGAGAGTCCTTCAGCTCCCAGACCAGGCTGGTGTGACCCTGCCTGCAGGGCAAGGGGGGCAGGAGAATACAGCCTGGGGGCACCCCGAGCCAGCCCATATCCCAGGGATGGGAATTAGGGGTGGGAGCTGGGCCCTGGCAGCACTCACCACACCAAGGGGTCATCAAAGGGGTGGATGCTGACCCAGCCCTCCGTCTTCAACAGCTCCTGGGCTCTCTTGTTTGCATCATCAAATGCCTGGGGTGGAGGGCAGTGGGGGCTCAGAAGGGCTCCACACAGCCCTGTAGTGGGTTTCTGTGGCTGGGTTTTGGTAGCAGGGGTGGGAGGGGGGCTACAGGTGTGGCTCCTGTTGGAAGCTGCCAGAAGCTTCCCCTGTCTGGTGGAGCCAGTGCCAGCCAGCTCTAGGATGGGCTTCCAGCCGCTGGCCAAGGCCAAGCCAATCTGGAGAGGCAGTAACGCCTCTGGGATAATAACATATTCAAGAACGGAAAGTTATTGTGCGGATGAAGATTCCAGCCAGGGAAGAGCAGAGTGTACAACAATGTAAACACCAAGGTCAGTGCAGAAGGAGGGGCAGGAGATTCTCCAGGTCCCGGAGCTGAGGCCCTGCAGCCCATGGTGCAGACCAGGGTGGGCATCTGTGCCCCTGCAGCCCATGGAGAAGCATCAGGATACCCAGACCCCCCTGCAGCCCATGGAGGAGCACTGGGATGCAGAGACTCCCTGCAGCCCATGGAGGAGCCCCTGCTGGAGCAGGTGGATGCAGGAAGGAGGCTGTGACCCCGGGGGAGGCCCAGGATGGAGCGGGGTCCTGCCAGAGACCTGCGGCCCATGGAGAGGGAAGCCCAGGCTGGAGGAGGTTTTTCCCAGGTAGGACCTGTGGCCCCTGTGGGGGACCCATGTTGGTACAGCTCATTGGTGAAGGACTGCACCCCATGGAGGAGTGACCCACGGGACAGCAGTTTGGGAAGAGCTGCTGCCCGAGGGGTGGACTCACACCAGAGAGGTCCATCAAGGACTGTCTCCCGTGGGAGGGACCCCATGGGAGCAGGGGAAGGACTCCAACTCCTCTCCCTGACAGCAGCAGAAATAACAACTGACCATAATCCCCATTCCCTGTCTCCCTGCACTGCTGGTGGGGAGGAGGTAGAACTTAGAAGGAAGCAGGGGTGGGGGGAAAGTGTTTTTAAGATTATTTTACTGCTCACTCTTTTGCTCTGATCCTCTTAGTAGCAAATGTAATTAATTTCCCCACTTTGAGCCTGTTTTGCCTGTGATGGTGATCAGTGAGTGACCTTTCCCAGCCCTTATCTCAAGCCCTGAACCCTTCATTGTTTTATTTTTCTCTCCTCTGTCCAGTTACAGAGAGGAGTGAGAGAGCAGCTTTAGTGGCTACCTGGTGTCCAGACAGGGTCAACCCACTACAAGCCCTCACACCGCAGGGATGTGTCCCTTGTCACCACGGGTGGGGGTCCCAAGGGTGACCCTGCTGCCGTGCCAGGGTGCAGGAGATGCAGGAGAGGGACATTTTGGGATGGGATGTCAAGCACATCCCCAGCATCACTGAGCAGGCTGAGGTCAGGCTCAGCCCCCTCTGGTCCCCCCCAGGCCCCAGTTTTTACCTTGCCATAGACCTCCACGGTCGCCCCCAGCTCCTCCAGCTTGCGCTTGGGGATGGGGCCGCTGGTGCTGGGGATCACCACGGTGATGGGCAGCCCCAGCTTCTTGGCTGCATATGCTGCTGCCATACCAGCATTCCCCCCTGTGGGAAGCAGTGGCTCAGGCAGGGCTTGGCCCCCCATACATCCCCAGATTCCTCAGGGAATCAGCTCGGGATGGAGTTACCTGAGGAGCAGACGAATTGGCGGCAGCCCCTCTTGGCAGCCTGAAAGGTGGGAGAAAAAGAGGGAAGGGATTGCCTGTGTCCACCTGCCATGTCCCTCATGGGGGCAGGAACAGTTCCCTGCTCACGCCGTGCCCACACTCACCTCCTGGCAGAGGTGCCCGATGCCCCGGATCTTGAAGGAGCCCGTGGGCTGGACGTTCTCCAGCTTCATGAAGACCTTGGTGCCCGCTGCCTTGGAGAGGGGCAGGCTCTCCAGGATGGGCGAGACGACATGAAAGGGCTTCTGGCCCCCACCAGGCTGGGCTGCCATGGCCCTGGTGATGGATGCTCTGCCAGGGAGAGGTGGTGGAGTCACCAGATCGTCTCCATCGGTCCACCCCACAGCCTCGATGCCCACCCCAGGCTCGGTGTGGGGCACAGGAGCCCCTCAGGAGGGAAAGGGCTGTCCTCAGTGTTTCCTGCCAGCTCCAGGATGTAGGAGCACCTATGGGGTCTCCCTGTCAGAGCCCCGGGTGAGGCTGTGCCATCCCCTCCTCCATCCTTCTGGACCTCATTTCCCGGTGCCTGCAGGTGCCCCCTGCACGCCCTGTCCCATAACCCAGCCAGGGTCGCCGCAGGGTGGGGGTTACCTGGTGTCCCCTGGGGCCTCGCTGCGTGTCCCCGGCTGCTCACCCGCCGCCGAGTCTGGGGGACAGAAGAGGGAGAGGTGACGTCGGAGGGGCCGTGCCGGTCCCTGTGCTCAGCAGCGCAAGGGGCGGCGGTCAGACATTGCCCCGGCCCTTCTGTTTGCTCAGCACTGTGGGAGTTTTACAGCCGCGACGCTGGACCGATGCCGAAGGCGCCTGGCCATGGCTGGGCGCGCTGCCGGGTGTCCTGGCCAGGACAGGCACGTGTGGTCCTGCCAGCCAGATCCCTCTGAATGCTCGGGAGATGGGATGTGGGCACCCAGGAGATGGGGAAGGGGAGAAACAGCTCCCAAATGATTTTGGGGGTCCTTAAGGGTTTGCACTGGCTGTTCTCAGGTCCAACCAGGAACATGTCCCAGCAGATTTTAGGACTTTGCCCATTTGACCCAGGGCAGCCTGCATACCCCAAACCCCCACATAAGATAACACTTATTGCCTCCACATGAGCCATCACACCCCTGTGCCCACCCTGCCAAGCCCCACACCCCACAGCAGCCCCGGAATCCTGTCTGAGCTGCACATCCCAGGGAGGCTCAGTCCCTCCGCCTGTATGAGCCCCCCAAGATGAGGCCACCAGCCTCAGATGGCCATGCCAGGCACCCAGCAGAGGGTCAGGAGGGGTTCTGGGTCAGGGGGACCCCCCTACAAAGGTGCCCCCTGATCACCCCTTGGAGAGGGCCAAGCTGGAACAGTCTGAAAGCAGAGGTTGCACGGGAATCCCAACAGGGAGACACTGCACAGCAGCTGGCACATGCACATCACAGCCAAATGGGATGCACTGGGAATATCCCCACCCTCTTCAGTTCTGACTCACTGCCGGGCAGACAGCAATGAAACAGGCACAGAATATCTGATTTTGGTCCCCTTGTTACCCAGTGAGTAGCTAAAAGTTGATACAGTTAATGCACTGGGTATCTGAATGCACGGGCTTGCTTATCAAACCCATATCAGGCTGGAACCAGAGGTCTTAGTGCTGTGGCTGGAGATGAACATCTCCATATCAAACAGGACCAGGACTCTGGTTAGGTGACTGAAGGTGAACAACTTCATATAAGGAAATAATTATTAAGCTAATAATCTCTGGGAAATAATTGACATAGTCCAGCCTTTATATAAGAAACAGGTTGACTATCTCTATAGTGTAAATAAACCACTGATTCAAAGTCGTGGTGTGTGTGACAGGAAGAGATGTCCCTCACACACCTGGCACCAAAAATAAAGTGCAAATAAAGCTTTCTAATACTACAAAGAGTGTTTTAGTCCTGATTTTCAGTGACACCCTGACCCAAACTGTGCTGCAAATGCCCCTGGGAACACTCTTGCTAACAGGCAGTGGGAGCTGCAGGGCAGCCCTACTCCTGATGGGATGGGAGAGGGCTGGGCCCTTGGTGGCAGGAGCTGGGGAAGGGGTGCAAGGAGCTCCCAAGAGCTCACAGAGACGAGGCTGGGGACCCCCTTGGTGAGACCACCATGTGTCAGCTCAGCCCTGGGGTGCTTCAGAGTCCTTTTCCACACTACACCTACTTCCTCCTCCCCCCTTTGCCACCTTTTGACTCTATCCCTGCCCCAAGGAAGGCAATGCCAGGCTGTCACCCCATCACTTCCCTTGGCCAGAGTCCTTGGGTGACAACACCATGGCAGCTGAGGTGATATTTAACAACTTTTTGGGTTTCCACTTCAAAAAAAAACCCAAAACACAAAAACGGAGGGGAAGCAGCAACCCAGCCACTGTTACAATTCCAGCATGCCCTGTCCTTAGCATGTGTGCTTGTCCCTCCTTGCTACTCCTTCATTTGGTGATGGAGATCTCCTATCTGCCAAAACTGAGGCACAGGGATCCCTCGAGCAGCTCCCCCTGCCACAGGAGCCCACACACCACGGGGACACCAGGGGACACAGGCTCTGCCACCCCCGCCTTACCTGCAGCACCTCCCCACACAGTGGGCTATGGACACCCTGCCTTGTCCAGTGCACCCATCCCAGATTTTGGGGTGCCAAACAGCACCCCAACAGCCCAGACCTGCTGCATCCCACCCCCCTGCAGACCCCACGGAGCCCCAGGGGCTCCCAGTCCTGCTGGGAATCTGACACCTTCAAAGCCCTGCCGAGCCAGCACGTTAATCCCCCACTAATGACCTCGTTATTCCTAACGAGGCAGATCAAGGGACCTGCTGCCCAAGAGGATTTTGCAGCCGGGCTTTTGGGGATGGGGGCACACAGGTGCCTGAGAGGGGCAGAAAAAAGGGATGAGGATGGTCTCCCACTCCTGCAGGGAGAGCGCTGGCGCTTCCCCATTTCAGCAGCTCTGCCCCACACCGGTCCCCAGCCTGAGGCAGCAGCAGAGAACCCTCCACAGCCTGCACCCCAAAAGAGCCCGGCCTGGCTGGGCACACACCCTCCCACCCTCAGAGAAACAGGATCACCCTGTTAATATGGGGGGGGGGGCAAGACCACAGTGTGAGCCCAACCCTCAGAGCAGCCACCCGAGAGTCCGGCAGAGAGCAAAGCACCGCCACCACCACAGAGCGCTTTATTTGTCACAGCCACGCCAGCTCACTGCCCTCCTCTCTGCCCCAGGATCCCAGGACCTGCTTTTTTCTGGGAAGAGCCTCCTAAGTCAGGTGTCAGCACCCAGGGACAGGTCCCAGGCCTAGAGAGCCCCGTGGTGGGGAGGGAGAATGGGGGGCTCAGCCCCCTGCACAGCACAACCGGGACCTGAGAGGCAGAGAGAGCCAGGGGAGGGCGGGGTATCACAGAGCTGCGGTGCCCCCACACCCAGCTGACCCCTAAAGGGATCCCTCCACAGGACAGACACCCACTGATGGACGGACAGGATCAGCCCACGGGTGCCTGTTCAGTCCCAGTGGACCTTGACCGGGGGGAACGTCCAGAGGTCCGGGTGGCCCATGTGGAGCAGGGAGCTGCAGGGGGATGTGCTCCAGCGGAAGGGGGGCACATCATCCCACGTGGGGCCACTGGCAGCCACCAGCCCAAAGGAGGGGACCATGCCCGAGGAGGTGACCTGGAGCAGGGGAGACAAAACAGGGTGTGAATCAGCACAGAGGAATGGGCAGCACAGTCCGGGGGAGCTGCAGGGGAAAGTGCCCCCTGCAAGAGGAGATCCCCCCTAATGGGGCTGCCTGAATGCCCCACCTTCATGTCGGTGCCGCCGTGGCAGCGCTGGCGCAGGGCAGGGAAGGGGTAGGTGCCGTTGGGGGGGTTGAGGTCAGAGCGGGCAGAAATGGCGTTCTCGGCGTTCTGGGGGGGGTCACAGCCCCTGCACCGTGACAGAGGGTCCTGCAGGTAGTTGTTGGACCTGCCAGGAGAGGGGCCAGGAGTGAGTCACGGGGAAGACATAAATTTACAGCGATGGAAAAATATCATACCCAAAGGTCGCAAAGCCCTGGGGGGTGTGGAACAGCCGGGTTTGGGGGGTCCCCAGCACAGACCTCATGAGGCGGATCATGGAGTCCAGGTCATGGACCAGTGTCTGGTTCCGGCGGAAGATCTGGGCCCGTGGGTTCTTGTCGTAGGTGAACCAGTCTCCATACTTCCTCACCAGCTCCAGGTTCCCGCTGGCATTGAAGATCTCCTCAAAGTACCTGGGGGGGGGACGACTCAGAGAGTCAGCATTCAACAGAGGGGTGGGTGGCAAGGCCCAGCACTGCCTCCCTTTATGGGGCAGCTGTGGATGGCATGGGGTGAATGGCACTCACGGTACATTGTAGCTGGCCCAGTAGCCCTGCTGGTACAGCAGCTCTGTCAGATCAGCCTCCACCACCAGGCCCCTGCGCTGGGAGGAAGAGCATCGGTCAGAGCAGAGAGGAAAGATCCAGTGGGGATAAGCAGAGATGCCTTAGGATAGGCTGGGACACATGCTGGAGGTCCTTACCGTGTTCCACCCCAGTCAGGGGAGCTGGGCACCCATCACCTCTACACAGGCATCCCCAGAGCCTTTAACCACATCTCCATTTCCCACTGCCCACCCAATGGGCTGGGGCAGACATGACCCCTAGGGCTTTCCCAAACCCACAGGGATGGGAGAGGAGATGCTTCCACTGTGGCTCAGCTCAGCGCAGGAGTTGCTGCTCAGGGAGGAAGGGGGTCACTCACGGGATCTGCTCCAGCACGGTCAGCACGCCCGGTGACGGGCTCGCTCCGCCTGGCGTGAAGGCGTTGTAGTCCACCACCATCCACTGGTTGTTGTAACTGGCACAGAGAACAGGAATTGCATCCCTCTGGCAGCCAGCCTCCTCCCAGGGACTCTCCATCCAGTCCCACCTCACCCTGGGGATAAATTCCCATGCCCCATCCCACCCCACTCACGTGCCGCTGTTGAACCGCCGGAAGACAGTGGCCCACTCGGGCCCGCTGCGGGCCAGCCGGTTGGCCACGATGTTCCTCAGCCACTCCAGGACGCTGCCCCGCGGGTCCAGGTACTTCCACCGCGCCGGGTTGTTGTTCCCGATGGTGGTTTCCAGCGCTACCTGCGGGGAGGGCAGTGAGGGGCAGGGCAGCGGGGCCGGGGAGGGGTCCCCGAGCGCCACAGCCACTCACCAACCCACTGCTGAGGATGTAGAAATCATCCGCCGAGAAGATGGTGCCGGGGTAGGAGGAAAACACCTGGATGCTCCCGGGGATCTGAGACTTGCCTGGAGGGGGGATGTAGAGGCAGGGGAGCATCAGAAGGGGGGTGTGAGGTGCAGCCCCCCCAGCCCAGCCCACGCACCGCCGGCTGAGGCGCGGAAGGGCAGCGTGTACTTCTTGATGAGGCGCAGCATGGACTGGTAGGAGTTCCAGGTGTCGTGGGCCACCAGGAGATCCCGATTGCCCGGCAGCAGCTTCACTAGGGCAGAGCAGGAGCCTGAGCCCAGCACACGCTGCGGGGAGGAGCGGTTCAGGGCAGACTCCAGGTCCTCCAGGTCACCCCCCAACTGCAGCAGCCTGAGGGGAAGCAAGATATATGAGGTACCAGGTGGGGGACATCCCAGCACACGAGCTGAGCTGGCTCAGAGCTCTCTGTCTGTCCATCCAGGCTGGAGCCATTTATTCATCCCACACTAAT